CGTAGTGACCAGCAGCTCTCAGACTTTATAACCATTCCTTTCTCAAGTCACTACAGGCCCTCCCTCCACTTCTCCATGCAGGCTATTCATGGGACTATCTGAGAGACCCAGCTGACCTCCAAGTCCACCATCAGTCTTCCCCTTAAGTCCAGTGATACTGTCTGAGTCAAACAGGTACTGAAAGCAGTGTTGGAACCAACTCAGAAAGAACTGTACAAGGTGATACTCTCCATTCCTATGGCTGTGAAGATTGCTAGCATTACACCATGGATCCACAACACCAGGACAAGAAAGCAGAAGCCACAGACACCTTTGCCAAATGGTCTGTCTCCTAAACTATGGATCCATTAAAATTAAGGTCTTTCCACTTCCTGCTCCTCCACCTCTTCCTGAGTTGTATGTTTGGTATGAGTACAGGATCATGGCACCTACTGACCTAAGCCTGAATCTTGAAACTGAGAAAGACAGATACAGGGAAGGTGTCAACTAGTGTGACTACAGACCAGCAACACATCACCAACTTGACCTCTGCTCATTGATGTCTACTTTAAGTGTGGTTTCGTTGCACTGGAGAAAGAAAACATGTGGAAGTTGTGTCTTTTGAGATAGGAATACATAGCTTACAATTCTATGCATGCCCTATAGCTCTGGGACTCCTAGTTGCCAAAAACAAGGGAGTTTCCATTCCAAAAAGTGAAAACACAGAGATGAATATATAGAAAGCAAGATAGGAAATACAAGATAGGAAAATGTAATCCAATGGCCATAAAATTGAAAATCTGGAAATTCCATAAGAAAGATTCTAGGTTTTGGAAAATAAGGAAAACCTGGAGAATCAGACTATGCCACAGGAAGGAACCCTGGGGATCGAGTTAATTATTCCCAGGCTAGAATCTGCCAAGATTTCTGGTTATGCTTATGCTAGCTATGCCCCATACTACATAGGGATAGGATCTAACCAGACTGTCAGCCCACTAACTGACAAAACTCATGTGGCTGAGGACTTACAAGGGGCTGAAACTTGTCTAATATCCAAACCCTTTAACCTTGGTATATACCCTTAGTCTGCTATCCTGGCTTATATTTGTCTAAATAACTACACTACTGAGTCCCTGAGACTACTTGACAGGCATGTACTAATGGTTTGACTAAATGTGCTTCTTGATGCTTTCCAAACTAAGTAGACAAGTTGGTCAGGACCTAAACATATTAAAAGTTTCCATTTCTTGATTAAAACAACAGTTAGATTCCCTTGCAGAAATGGTCCTAGAGAATTGAAGAGGTTTAGATTTCTCATGAGATAAAGGAAACTTTTTATATATGGCTTTGGAAGAAACCTGTTATTTTGCACTCATTAGTCGAGAATAATTAGAAAACATCTTGCCATGGTTGGGGAAAACCTCAAAACAAGAAAAAGACAGAAACAAATTGATACTGGTTTCTTTTCTCTTGGTCTCCCTGGCTAATTACTTTGCTATCAGTATTGTCTGGACCTTTAATTCTCATTCTGATTGGATTAACAGCAGGGATCTGCACCTTAATCTATATGGTATATCAGTTCAGTTCAATAGCTGAGACCAGCTACACCTCCTTAAAGTGGGATAAGACCACCACTTAACTCACTCTCTGAGGTGAATGGGGAATGTAAGAGGCTTCCAGACCTTACTAGACCCAAGACTTTAGCATAACTGACTCCATGATTCTCTATCAATCAGGTCACAAAACTCAGCCCATAGACAAAATGAAAACAAACCCTTAACCTATCAGAGTCCAAAATCATGGGAAAGTCTCTAAATGTACTGACTTACTTTTTGGCTTCTACAGATTCACTTCTGGCTAACTGTTCTTGTTAACTGAAGTATGTCAACCCAGAATGATGGTTCTTGTGCTTAAATCTCACCCTGAGAAAGGCTTGGTGGTATACTGGGATCCTGAGTACCCAGTGTAGTTACAAGCTGGCTAATAAAGACATTCTATTGGCTTAAACCCATGACCCAGCAGTCTTTTCTGGTGGGTAGTCTATAATACTGTGGGGTTGGAAAGGCTCATGGGTTAAGAATCTTTGATACTCCTACAAAAGATCTGAAGTAAGTTCCCAGCATCCACATGGAGGTCAGAAATTAACTTGATTCTGGGGAATCTATTCAGACAGACATTCAGACATACATTCATAAACATAAAATCTTAAAAAGATAAAACCTAATAAACAAAAACAGGGATGGGGTTATAAGGTGATATTGAGCAGGAAAATATAATGTTGTCTTTGACCGCAGAAAACCCCCAGACCCAACAAAAATTCAAGGAAAAAAAAAATCACAGCAGCCAATATCCTAGCACTTGGAAGGCAAAGGCAGGCAGATCTAAAAAGTTCCAGGGCATCCAGAGCTACGGGCTGAGATCCTGTCTCAATTTAAAAAAAAGAAAAAAGAAAAAAAGAGCAAACTTGCAAAGTTACTGAATCAATGACCTAACATTTTTTCCTGCATATCAGCACTGAACATCTGAGTATATAATTTAAAAGCATCATTCATACAGCACCAAAGATAAAAGGAATTAGAAATATATATGCCTTTAATAAAGATCTATAAACACAAACTTTAAATTCTTAATTGAAAAGTTAAGTGAATACAAAAATTCCAATTATGGACCAAAAGCCTTAAATTTATTTTATTTCTCAATTTAAGCTATAAATTCAACACAGAGCTCAAGAGAGCTCAAGAGATGGTTTAGCATGTTAAAGGTATTCGGTGCCAAATCTGAATTCCTGAGTTTGACACCTGGGATCTATACAATATAAGAACTGACTCCTGCAAGTTGTCTTCTGATATTCACACATGCTTGGTAGTGTGCCCAGCAGTCTACAAACACACACACACACACACACACACACACACGATTTTTTTTTACAGATCTGTAGATTCAACACAATCTTTAAAAAGTCCCAACTACTTAATAATAACCAATAATAACAAATCTGATTCTATGGGTTATATTGAAAGTCTAAAAGTGGTTCTCAACCTTCCTTTTTTTTTTTTTTTTTTTTTTGGTTTTTCGAGACAAGGTTTCTCTGTGTAGCCCTGGTCCTGGAACTCACTCTGTAGACCAGGCTGGCCTCGAACTCAGAAATCCGCCTGCCTCTGCCTCCCAAATACTGGGATTTTGCCTGGTGGTTCTCAACCTTCCTAATGCTCCCACCCTTTAATATAGTTCTTTGAGTTGTGGTGAACCTCCACTGTAAAATTATTTCATTGCTACTTAATAACTGTAGTTTTGCTACTCGTATGAATCATAATGTAAATATCTGATATACAGCATGTCTGATATAAGACCCCTGGGAAAGGGTCGTTCAACCTCCCAAAGTGGTTTTGACCCACAGGATGAGAACTGCTGTACTAAAGAGAAAGCTCAGTGATTAAAAGATCTTGTCCTGGCAAAGGATCCCCATTGGGTTCCCAGCACTCCTGGGGGTTCAGAAGCATCCAACTCAAGCTCAAAGGGACTTAATTCCATCTTCTCCCCTCAGAGGGAACTAGGCATTATGTAATATGCAGACAAAACATTCAAACACATCAAATAAATCTTAAAAGTAAAGATTATGAGGGAAGGGAAAACACATGGGTACATCGGTATACCATACAGTTAATAAAGCTTTTCCGAGTAGCAGGAAGCCTTGGGTTCCTTTTGAAACATCACATAAAACCAGGCCTGGTTGACACATACCTTTAGTCTTTAATCGGGTAGTGTTTTGGGTCTAGTTTCCCTGAGTTATCTTTAAAAGGTTTTGTACTTTGCATTTCTTTGACTTTTCCAATTTCACTCACTCTTGCGGTGAGTGAAAGAAGAAAGATCAGAAGTTCAAAGTTACCCTCAGTTACACAGCGAGTTTGAGGCTAGACTGAGTCGTGTCTATCTCATAAAAAAAAAAAAAAATCAGCACACTAGAATAGTACATAGACACATATATAAACACATACACACGTACTGCCATCATCTGACTTTAAAACTTTGGATAAGCTACAATAATGAAAGCAGTCTACTTCTGGCGGATGTTCTCAGCCCAACACCTTTAATCAAAGCAGGCAGAAGCAGGTTATCTGTGAATGCAAGGCCAGACTGGTCAACAAAGAAAGCTCCAGCAGAGCCAAGAGTTCGTAGAGAGACTTCGTCTCAAAAGCTAAAACAAATATTCTATTTCCCAATAAACAGATCAAGAGAAAATTCGGAAATAAGGGTAAAAGAATACAGCTAACTGTGTTAGATTTTGGCGCGCTTGGACAGATAACGCTAGACCAGACGGTTCCACGAGGGGGAGTTTATTCGAGAGGAGAGAGAGAGCGCACAGAGAGGTAGAGGAGTAGAGGCTGGCCATGACCACGTGGAAAGAGGGGGAAGGGGCAGAGGGAACCTGTAGGCACGAGAGTAAGGGGACAAGAGGAGCAAGAGAGAGAGGAGGGGCCAGGCAGCCCCTTTTCTAGTGGGCAGGCCTACCTGCCTGTTGCCAGGTAACTGTGGGGCGGAGCAAACCTGGTAGTTGCCAGGTGACTGTGGAGGTGGAGTTTAGACAGAATACTAACAAACTGTTTTTGACAAAGAAGCAAAGAAAACTCAAGGAATTTCCTTCATTAACAAATATTAAGTGAGCCACCTTAACATCTATACTTAAGGAATTAATGAAAGACTTTATAACTGCCACGGAAATTAACTCTTAAGTGTATTCTAAACCTAAATAATGAAAGGCGAAGTACACAAATCAGAGAAATCAGACTCTCAACACTACCCGAGGTCCCGCGCCAAAGTGACGTCACAGAAAGGCGAGAGGGGCGGAGCCTCTCGCCACGGTGCTCAGCGCTCTACGCAGACGCGGCCCGAGGGGCGGAGCCGACCAGAGCTGGGCCCCAGAACAGAGCTCTCGCTTCAGCCGCGAGGAGGCTCCACCAGACGGCTTCCCGGGGCTCCGCCCGCCTCTCCTCCCCGTCTGAGGACAGCAGCCCCTTGCTCACCATGGCGTGGCTTCCGACCTCGGCTGCACTCTCCCACAGGACAGGCAGCGGAGCTCACAGCACGGCTCACGCACCGCCTCGCTCAGCCTTAAAGGGGAACCCGGAGCATGGCGGCGAAGAGCCCGCCTCTCGCCGCTCCTCAGCGCCCATTATTGGATAGCTTGTCTGGCTGCTCTGAATGGCTAGCGAGGCCTGAGTGACAGGAACTGTTGTGTCGCGGAGAGAGTGGTGACACAGTCAGCCCAACTGGTCCTTGTGGCCCAAGGCTTGTACCCGAGCACACACAAGCTGGAGTTCCGAGTAGGTTTCCTTTTAAGAATTCACTCCAGCCCTCCAGAGCTGGCCCAGCTGTGTTAGGGCCGCGCGTGCGCACTGTGCACTACACGCGCTGGACGATGTAGGGATCCCCTTGCCCTCACAGCAGGAATTTTTATACAAAAGGTTAATTTATAATTTTTAATTGCATATATTTAACAAAAACGTGGGAGAAGCACATGTGTCCCACAGTGCATGAGTAGAGGGTGGAGGGAAACTGGCTAGAGTTGGCTGTCCCTTTATACCATATGGGTCCTGGGGATTGGAACTCAGTTCATAGGGCTTAGCAGCAAGCACCTTTACTAACTGAGCCATTTCTCTTTCCTAAAAGTTGATTTTTTTAAAAGAAAAAAATGTTTAGGCGTACCTATTATTTACTTTTAAAAAAAGGAGCTGGGGGTACAGAAACTGCCAAATTTAGAAACCCGTCTAGCTAGGTTCCATAATCCCAGTACTTGGGAGGCTGAGGCAGGAAAATCAAATGTTCAGGATCTGGGAAGCCTACAGGCTCGATTCAAGGCCAGTCTCAGAACAGAAACAAACATGACACAGAAACACCCATTAATGCAATGCTTCCATAGCATGGTTGAAACCAGAGGTACCCACCTCGAAATTGAAGGCAAACTAATTACAGAAATAAATAAAAGGGCCAATGGATAAGAGGTTAAAGAGTGTGTATTGCTCTTCCAGAGAACCTTAGTTCTCTTCCCAAGCTCACAGGTCTGTCAACACACAACAACTGCCTATGACTTCAGTCCCAGGGGAACTAGTGCCCTCTGCTTTTGCTCATGAAATAAAATGAAATAAAACAAAACACAGGACAGTATCAATGGATACTGAAAGATAAGAATGTGGTTCACTGGGCAGTGATGGTGCAGACTTTTAATCCCACCATCCCTGAGGCAGAGGCAGGTGAGTTTCTGTGAGTCCAAGGCCACCTTGGTCTGCAGAGTGAGTTCCAGGACAGCCGGGGTTAGAGAAACCCTGTCTCCAAATCAACAACAGAATTTGGTTTCTTGGGGCTCAGCAATTTTAAAAAGCACTTGTCTCCCTTAAAGAGGGTCTGGGTTAGGTTCCCTGCATCCTTGTGGCCACAGGCACTACATGCATCACACATAGAGTGTACATATACACATAAAGGTACTCTCACATACACATTAAAAAAAATAAATCTTAAAAAGACTGTTTAAATTCTTTAAATACTTTCAATCTGGATACTACCTGGGCTGTGTTGAGCAGAGAAACATTAATTAAACGTTAGCAATGGGCTGGAGAGGTGGCTCAGTGGTTAAGACCTCTGATTGCTCTTCTAGAGGTACAGAGTTCAATTCCCAACAACCACGTGGTGGCTCACAACAACCTATGATGAGATCTGATGCCCTCTTCTGGTGTGTCTGAATGAAGATGGCGACAGCTACAGTGTACTCACATACATAAAATTAAAAAATCTTTTAAAAAAAAAAAAGTTAGCAAAAGGGCAAATATGCAAAAAAAAAAAACCCTCTTAAAAGGTTAGTTTGCCTTTATATATCAAATAAGAAAAAGAACCAAGCTGGTTAGGGATGTGGCACAGTAGGGAGAATGTTCACCTGACGTGTGAGGCTCTGTGTTTCATCCCCAGCACCACGTAAAGCCAGGCTTGACAGCACACCCTGTGACATAAGCCTTGCAAGCTAGAGGCAGGTGATCAAACGTTTTTCCTCAGCTTCAGGGCAACTTGAAGTCAGTCTAGAATACAGGATTCTGTCTCCAAAAAAAAAAAAAAAAAAAAATCAGTACACTGAAAGGAAGTTACTGCCATTCTTTTCTTAAAAAAAAAATAATAATAATAATCCATAAGATGACCAGGAGCTACAAAACTAAGACTGTTGTTTCAATTTTTGAGACAAGAGTTCCTTATATAGCCCAAGCTGACATGAACCTCCTAACTCTCCTGTCTGTGCCTCCTGAGTTCTGGCATTCCAGGAATGCATATCCCATCCTAATATAAAGATCTATAGTTTTAATAAAATGTATATTTTAAAAAGGAATATCTTCTGTACCTGTCATTCAGGGTTGGTAAAAAAAAAAAAAGTCAAAGGAAGTAACAAGCATAAAAGTTCTCAGAAATCTATCAAGTATTAGGCAGAAATAGAAATTTGGCTTGTTGGTAGAAGTGCTAAGAAAGTAGAAGGAGGGACAGGAGGGTGTGACATTTGACCTCTTTCAAGAGATGTAAAACTAGACTGGACCCTCAACATCTTGATTGCATATTTGCAAATTTGCTGACTCACTAACTTCTCTCTGCCCAAACTTTGGGGACCTCAGTCAGGAACTTCTGTAGCAGTGGGTTTGGTGAGGGCATTGGCTGAGGGAAAAACTTATACTCTTTTTCTAGGGCCAAGATCACAATATGGATAGGGCCTTTTTTTTGTGTGTGGTTTTTCAAGACAGGGTTTCTCTGTGTAGCCCTGGCTGTCCTGGAACTCACTCTGTAAACCAGGCTGGCCTCAAACTCAGAAATCCACCTGCCTCTGCCTCCCAAGCGCTGGGATTACAGGCGTGCGCCACCACTGCCTGGCAGGATAGGACTATTCTTATCCAGCACTTCCACTCCTTCTGGGCCAAAATGGATTTGGACTCCCATTTTGGTGATATCTCTCCCCAGCAGAGTGTATGGGCATCCTGGATGACTATAAAAGAGTGACTTACTCATCCCATTCCCAAGTCCATCTTTCTTTGGGTAGTACATGGATGTCAGGGGCAGCCCTGCTTATACACTGGAGGTCTAAAACCAGCCTAAAATCAGCAACAGGCCTAACATACATGCCTGCTAACACAAAGTCTTGGGTCTCTGTGGAAAAACACTGAAACAGATGACTAGAAGCTATTGTAAACAAGCAGCTTTGGTGGAAAATTGTCAGGCTGAATACATAGACCTTGTAGATAGGTAGCCTTGATGGATAGTACCAACTTAGATAAGGACAAGTGAATCATAGGCGGAGTCATAGTGATCCATCCCCTGAGCCTTCACCCAGTTGATGCTCTGTTCTGGAAGATATCTGTACTCCCCTGAACACCTACACTCCTGAATCATCCCCTTCCCCACATCCTGCCTTTTTGTGTATATAATCCGTGTGTGAAAAAGTAAAAATGGCGATTTGATCAGACTATAGACAGATCACCTTCTTTGCATCAGCTGACCTGTCCCTCACTTTCTCTTTCAGGTGATCTCCCTGGACCCCCTGTTTAATGCTCTGCTGGCCAGGACACAATGTACAAGGCATATTGCCTGTTACTTCTTCTATCCATGTTTTTCAATCTGACAATGGTCTTAGCGGTTGTTTTAAAATGGAATGTTATACAACAGTGTTCACCAGAAAATCTATTGGTTTCCCCTCCACCTTCAGGGTTACCCAGGGCTCATGGACAGGGGTTGAGCCCCATTTCCCTCAGTCACTGACTTCCTCTAATTTCAGGACTTTGAGTTTTCTGTTTTTCCAATGGCCTATTTCTTTGCAGAAAGCACACTGGTCTTTATTTAGTGTCACTGGAAGCCAGATTCCCCATCAACTGTGCCCTGCTTACCTTTTCGTCTTTTCTGAGCCATGTCCCTCAGTTCACTGTTATCCTTGTGGTCATGGTTGGTGGCAGCTTCAAGTATTTGGCCAATCCCGTTTTGTTGACCCTCGAGGTTATCTCTATTGTTGTAGACTTTCTCTGTTATAGCTACCAGTTCTAGCAATTGCTTACCTTCAAACCCCTCCAAGCCTTGGAGTTTTTGCTTCAAGCATACTTGACTATTCTTGCTTCATGCCAAGGAGGGATTGATCTTGATCTCTTGGCCCCAAGCTTGGGTAACTATCCTTTTGCAAGCTGGAAGGGGGAGATCCCTTTTACATAAGCCTATGATTGTTGCAGCAATTAACTTGCCCAGTTCTGGTTAGTTTCAGGTGTCTAAACTGTTAATAAATTTGGGGAAAGGCTGACCACTCTGAAGCCCACTTGGCTTATATAGTCCCCCTGCATCTGCTTATGAGTACATTATATTTTTCCCTATATAAACTGACCCTAGACAGTGTATAGGTTCACAGCTTTCAGCTCTCGAGTCTGTAAGCTGTTGCCCTGATTGATCAGTCTTAAGAGTGTGCATTCATTAAACTATCCCTGTCTGACTGAGATTAGTGTTTGCATGACTTGTGGGGTGACTCCTAGACCCTAACACAAACAATCGAACAACAACAAATAACCCAAGACTTGGCTAACTGTTACGTTCCTTTGCTTGATTTAGGTGCTTTATCTAGTTCCTAATGTAGAAGGCTAAGTGTTCGGATTTTTTTTAATCTCTACATTTTTAGTATATATCTTCGTGGTTTAATTTGCCCATAAGCACTTGTGCTGTTTGCTAAAAATATTTTGATTTCTCTTAGGATCACTGTTTGACTTCTATGTTCTTAAAACTTTGTGATTTAATCTCTAATTATTTCATAGGTATACAAGTATTTTGTTGTTGAGGGCCAGATTGATCCAAGGCTTTCTCATAGACCCTGATGAGAGGAAAAAGGAATCTAGTTCTCAGTCCTTGCTCAAACGTGAACTTGCCAAGACCAGTCTGGAGCTGAGGTCTGAGTACTGCAAGATGGAAGGTGTTAGTTCCTGATTACTTGGCTTTTTCTCATAAAGAACCTGAAGTTATCAGTCATAAGCCACTGTATGCTCTGTCATGTTCTTGAGACAATCTGTGTTCTCTTCGTGCAACATTGCTTGATTACTCTTATAAC